CTTCAACCACAGGGCCAGTATGTTAGTTCTCCACCAGAATGTTACTTAATCTAAAATTTTACCAGGATGAAAATACCAAGTATGCCAAAAAAAGTAAGTTTCCTGAAACAACCTTTTCATCTGGCTCCAAAAATACTTTACTAGGTTGGCCATCAAACTATGTAGTCAAGTAACTACTAAACCAGTATTTCTCAGAGTGTAATCCAGAGACCACTGAGGGTCCCCAAGACCTTTCAGAGGGCCCAAGAGGGTCCAATTTTCACACTATTTTCAGAGTGTTACTAAGACATTATTTGCCTTCTCTACTCTCATTCTTTCACAACCGTGTAGTGGAGTTTTCCAGAGGCTATGACCTAGGATATCTCAACAGACTGAATGCAGGAGGAGACATGGGAATTTATATGCCTTCTATTAAGCCATACATTAAAGATTAAAAGGCCTGACATTAAAAGTTATTTGCAAAAACATAAAATGATGCCACTCTTCTCACTTTTTTTGTTTGTTTTGGGGGAAATACAGCTATTTTCTCACTTTAAAGTTATGTTAACATGTAACGCTTTATTATTTCTAAATAAATTAAATACTTTTTAACTTCTCAGTTTTATTCTAATATACAGCAAATTTCAATAGATACAACCCACTTAAACAGAAACTCTTTGGGATCCTCAATAATTTTAAGAGTATAAAAGGGGTGGTTGTTCTTTAATCAAGTTGTGTCCAACTCTTTGCAACCCCATGGACTGTAGCCCTCCAGGCTCCTCTGTCCATGGGATTTCCCAGGCAAGAACACTGGAGTGGGTTGCCATTTCCTTCTTCGGGAGATCTTCCCGACCCAGGGATCAAACCCGGGTCTTGTGCATTAGCAGGTGGATTCTTTACCACCAAGTCACCCAGGAAGCCCATAAAAGGGGTACTGAGATTTTAAAAAATGAGAACCACTTTTCCAGACCTTTCTATATTTATGTTTTGCCAAACAATTAAATTTTTTTTTAATTTTCTAGTTATCCCTGAAGAGACTGCTGCTGCCCTACAGATTCAGAAATTTGCTCTTAATAAGAAAAAAATAAGAACAAAAAAGTCTACAATCTTAAAAAGAATTGTACGTTAGTCTAAAAAAAGAAATGATTTATTACATCTTCTTAAAATAAACACAATAACAAGGTCAAAACTGAAGTGCACTCTAACAGACCACTACCTATAAGCTTTGGGGATGAGTTTATGATCAGTTGCGTACTGGTAATCTTCCAATAGCTCTTATCCCCTGGTGGTCCACTGGTTAAGAATACACCTTGCAATGCAGGGGTCAATCAGTTCAATTCCTAGTCCGGGAGGATCCCACATGCCACTAAGCAACTAAGCCCAAGCCCCCAAGTGCCATGGTATCAAAACTACTGAAGCCTCACATGCCTAGAAGAGCAGCAAGAGAAGCCACTGCAACAAGCCAGAGCACCACAACAAAGAGTAGCCTCCACTTGCCGTAACTAGAGAAAGCCTGCGCACAGCAACGAAGACCCATCACAGCCAAAAAACAAATAAATAAATCAAAACAAACAGGGCTCTTGGAAAGGACTATCCAGAAACTGTCCTGTTATGGAATAATCCTGATTTCCAAATCACAAGAGGACTAACCAAGATGCTTATAAGCATTTCTCTGTATCATAATATTAACATTTCTGAAATTAAAACATTTCATACTCCATCTAAACCGTTTGGTATTTCCCAGTATTTCTGGGAAACACATAAAGATTAAGACATCAAAGTTTCATTTGGATCCAACCCTTACATTGTCAGTAAATTATAATAGATGTAGCAATCCAGCCAGTTATTAAAATCTTCAGGATACATGGTAATGGTAGTTTTTGAAAATACAGGTTGGAAAGAAAGACCTTTGAAAACTAGTTTTTGAGGCTGCTGATAGACAAAATTTCACATTTACACTTCAGACTAAAATTAAAATGAAAGTCATATTTTAAAAACTGTAATATTAATATTACAGTTAAGGACCCTAAGTCAATAACTGTAATTTGAAAGTTACTTAAACCAAGGCTACTGCAATAGCCAAGAAATGAAGTGACTGAAGACCTCAAGTAGAAAAGCAGGTAAAGGCTGCTTTTAAGAAACAACACTCCTTAGGCATTTGTTAATTCAACACATATTTATTAAATTGTCTACTACTTACAAGACTTTGACAAGCTAAGAAGCTCATAAACTGGTGGGAAGATAATTCCAAAGGGGGAAGTATACATAAATAAATGCAGAAGCTACTCTAGGCAGAATGAAAGAAGTTCTATCTGAGAAGTGCTAGAAGAGCGAGGGAAAGAAAGGAGGGCTATCTCCAAACAGTAGGGATCAGGGAAAGATGTCATCTTCTTCTGGCAAAGAAGTCATCTAACCAGGACCCTTAACTGTATGAGATTTCAACCCAAAGTGAAAGGTACCCCAAGAAGAGGGAAAAGCACACAGTCAAGGAACAGCTAGTACAAAACAGCTTCTGCAGAACTTGTGATGGACTCCAGGAGGGGAAAAGACTGGAAAATCAGGTTGGAAGCAAAAATAAAGGGACTTTTATGACAGGATAAGGAAGATGCAGCTTTTTTCAGTAGGCAAAGGAAAACCGCTGGAAGGTTTTTAAATCACTGGAAGGTTTACCACTGGAAGATAAATCATTAAATGATACTTTAAGAATACTGTGGACTGGACAGAGTAGAAACAGGGGGAAAACAGTTAGTGCACTATCACACCAGTCCAGGAGCTTGATTTGGATCCTAGGACAGGAACTAGGAACTACAAAAGGATAGATACAACACATGCTGCAACCTCTTCACTGAAAATTTACTTAGTTTTAAACATCTCAAAACTTAATTTATCACACAAAACAAGGCTGTTCACATTATTTACATTAAAAACCATTCACTTCATAGGCAATATTTTAGCATACTCAAGTATGTTTCCTTTTCAAAAAGCTGTTAGAAATAACTAACTGTATTCTATTAATACATTAAGTCTACAACTGAGTAATGAAGAGCAGTATATGCATACTTTTAATATTATGACTAGAATCTCAGTATGCAAAATTTCATTTAAGAATAAACATTCTAAACTCAAAAGTTCATTTCCATGGAATACACAAAGTTTGGATCAGAATTTTCTAAACAACCTTTCAAGACCCACAGCACTGCATAATGAAAACAGCTGACTTTTCTTAAAATCATTTTTGGACAATTCAACTCAACTCAGTCTATATTTCTACTAGGCCCATGTTTTTCAAATATTAGTGCCTTCTTCATTTTCTCCCCTCCTCCCCACTCACCTCTCCGCCCAGCAAATTCCCTTTGTATGTTTGCAAGGCCAGATATTAAATCAACATAGTATGATTCTAAGGCAGTTTGAATATATAATTCTCACAGTAACAGAAATCTAGAATTATTAACCTTACTTTTTACAGGAGAGGAACCAATGATGTACTAAATTTCCATTTATGTGAATGACAAATGCATCTAATAGAAATGATGCTTTACCATTAAGGGGAAACAAAGAGGGAAATACACACAATAGATGGGTGGCAAATTTTACAAACTTTGCAAAATACAAAAAAAAAGCTGTATCTGGATTGCAGTCATAATTATAAAAGCAAATAAAGGAGGCTCCAAAATGAAGGGAAAAAAAAAAATTCTAAGTGATCATTAAGAATGAAAAAGGTTGATTCAATATTAGTACTGACTCTTAACATCATTTAACACTATCACTCGATGACTAATTGAAAAAAAAACACAAAGAGGAGAATTCACTGTTCACAAGGACACAGGAAATAATTTCTACATACATCCTGTAAGACAGTTATACTTCATTACACTTTCATGGGCTCAGATCTTTTCAAAGGTTTCCAAAAACATGCAGTCTTATGATAACTGAGATTCCCCAATGACACAATTTATTCTGTAGGCTTAGCTATAACACATTTTTAAAAGACATAACGAATTCATCCTCAACAAAAATAGTCACAAAGGCCCTCTACTTATTCAAAATCATTACATAAAGCACTGTCTATAATTGCAAACAGGATTTGAAAATCTGACAGCTGATAATCAGGACATAGACTTAAAAGAAAAAAAATTACCCAACTTTTCCATTTTTCCTTCCTTTTCTTTTCCTACCATATACACAAAATGTCTGTAAGGATCTCAGACAAAGCTCTAAAGTAAAAATACAGTGTATGTATACTTTACATTATGGGCACTCAAACCTATCACATGTATGTACACATCACATATATTCACACAAAAAAGGTTCTTCCTCTTTTTACGCTAAGAACCGAAGTTACATTAAATACTATCCCATAAATTAAGTTAAATCACGATAAATTAAAGAGTAATAAAACAGTGCACGCTAATCTCTCTGAGCGACTATATTCTGAAAAGAAAAACCTCAGACTAAGGCCATGACTGAATAAAAAGCCCAGCCCCTGAAAATCACTAACCGGCATTCGGTTTCCACGAGAGAAAAGGGGGTCTTTAAAACGAATAATCACATAGGCAAGCCCAGTTTCAGAAGTTAACGAAGGTAAAACACAGCGAACCAAACGTACGAAATGACAAGCTTTAAAGAATTCCCCTAAAGGGAAAGACTGACTTTAAGTCTGGGATATAAAGCATCCTTTGCAGGTAGAATCTTTAATTGAAACAGTGGGGGGAAAGCGGGGGGTGGAGGGTACGACGAAAACCTGAACGACAAGCAAAGGCAAAGTAAAAGAAACGGGTCCTTCCTCCCACCCCCACCCCCCCAGCCCCCACCCTCACTCTCACAGGACAATAGGATCGGGGTCCTAACTGCAAACTTTAAACGTGTAAACCAGAAGCAGTTTTTACTGCAGCTCTAACTGCAAATCAGCTCCTCATCCCGAACCTAGAGCACCCAAGAATACTTCTGCCCGGAAAACATCACCAAGGTCTTGTTAAACACAAATCAGACCCATCACAAGATTCTTTTTTTCTCCCAAGTACCTGGAGGATCCATTTCAATATAAAATATCAGTTCTGTCGAATAGGGCATCATCACCTCCCTCCAGTCTGCGTCATCGCGGTCCATACTCCACACCGTATTGTACATCGCGCTGTCAGGGGCAGGTCGTCAGAAAATATATAGAAAGCATATATATTCTTTATCTGCTATTTAAAAATCTAAAAATATATATCTGTAAAAGTCTCACTGGAAAATGTACTTCGGGGTTTCCAACGGCCGGTACAAGTCCAGCCAACTACTAGGATGAGGACGGGGTCCTTCTCCCCTCTCCTCCGGCATCAAACAAAATGCCCCCGGAATGTTCAATCTACTGGCTTTTCTCCTCGAAGGGACACAGAGAGGTTTGGGGCGGGGTGGGGGCGGGGGGAGGTGGCGAGGGCAGAGGTGTTAAAAAGCGGCTTTCCAAAATCCCTTCTACACAGTCGTTCTGCAAAGAGAAAAGCTCCTATCGCCTTCAAATCTTTCCGCGGAAGCCACTTTCGTGTCCTTCGAGAGAGAGAATGGAGAGGGGGAAAAAAGAACGCGTTGCAAGAAAGGTGGGGAAGTGACAAAGGAAAGAATAAAAAGGGGGTTGGGTATTGCGTTCAAGTTTCGGGGTCCCACTGGTCTGCGAGGAGAGATCCCCTCAGGGGCCGGGACCCGGGCTTCGTTCCGTTCGGACTCGGAACCGAAGCTGCCGCAGCCTCGGGATGGGGTCCTGTTCCAGAGTCCAGTTAGCTCTGCTTGGCCGGACGCTCCCGCCGGGCTGTAAGCGAGCCCGCCAGCGCCGGATCCCCTCACGCTCTGCCCGGACTCCAGCCACTAGAGTTTCATTTTAACGGCGCGGAGGGGGACACCCTCCCCCGCCCCCCAAGCTCCCCCGCTGAGGCGCCACCCAACCGGGCCGAGCAGGGGGGACGGCCAGCATCGCCAGTGCCCCTTCAACTCTATCCCGCCTCGAAGTGTTGGGGTTTCTGTCAGCTGCCTGAGACGGTGTGCGTAAAACTGTCCTCTGCCTCAGCTATCAATTCTCCCTATCGCTCCCTAGGCCTCGGCTCCTTAACCCAGCAACCTCTCTCCTCCCCTCAGCCTCAATCAGAATGGTAGGGCCCGGGCGCTGGCTACTCGCCAGGAGTCAGTGCCTGGAGCACGCGAGCCGGGCTGGGAGGGAGAGGCGAGCAGGGAGGAGAGGAGGGGGAAGAGAGAGTGAAGTGGCTGGTGATTGGCTGAGCCGGGTTGCCGGAGCCCGGAGCCTGCGTCTTTTGTCTGCCTTGCTCCAGCCAAGGAGCGGGAGACGACTGCGCGCCCCAAGCGGGCCAATCAGGAGCCAGCCGGCGCCGGCCGGTGTGGCGGCGATTGGTCGGAGCCTAGTTACTAAGCGGGACAAAGGCAGAAGGGGGAAAGAAAAGAAGAGGAGGAAAAAAAAAAAAAAGAAAGAAAGAAAGCGCAAACGGCGGTTAGTGACAGGCTGGGCGAGCGCTCGGGGGCTCAAGCTGCCCGGAGACAGGCGGGGCTCCCGCTGAGGCTCGGTCCGCTCGGACGTGTAGAAGAGGGGGAGGGCGGGCTGGCGCGAGACACCTCTGCCCGGAGACTGGCCGCGGGGGAGGGGAGCGGACCGAGAGGGGAGCGTGCTGTCACTTGGCGGGACGCGCGGTCTTCTGGCCCTTAGGGTGTCCCCGGGCAGAGTTCTTCCCCCACGGACCTCTTCCCTTTGCTGGGACAGCCCGCCCCACCTCACCCACCCCCCATGATAAGTTGTCAGATAAAGCAAAGGTCTCTAAAGCTAGTTGCTGGACCGTTATTGCTCAGCGAGAGGATATGCCCGTGGGCCCCGTGCAGCAGACTCGGCCGCTACCTGCGCTCTGCCTCGATTTCTTCCCTTGAGCAGTGAGGCACTTCTTAAGGAGGCATTTCGCAGTTCCTCTGTGCTTTCCACATCAGGACTCTTGAACCCAGGGGGAACTCGCCACACCTGAAATAAATAGTGGAGCGCCACAGCGGGCCCCTCAACTCGAGTGCTCGAGCGGGGTGGGGGGGGGGAGCACTGCAATTACAACGCGTGTGTGAGTTTCGAAATAAATCACAGGTGGAATCTATCGCCAAAAGGGCTCTATTCTGTTACCCCCGAACAGACCCTCTTCCACGTATACCCAGTCCCTCCCCCATTCTTAAAGTATGAAATGCTGAATATTTTCACGCATTTCAGAAACTGCTAATTAACTTTGTGGGGGTGCGGGGTACAGTAGCATCTCTTGAAGGTAGTGCCTGGAATTGCCGTTCTTCATACTCTGCAATACAGTCAGGAGGCCAAAAACTGCTCCATTTCCTCTTTACACAGGAATAACAAAGCCCATTGTGTTTGGGTTGACAACCTGATTTAAGCCCTAGCAAAAACTACCGTGAGTGGCTCTGCTATATTGACATGCCTGTGGGAAAGTTGCCACGTTTCACCCTCAACCTCCTCAAGTGGTTCTGCCTTTCTTAAAGTTGCTCTGACTGTGAGTTGAGACCGTTCCTGGGAGCAGACAGTCAAAATGTGTATGGACTGTGTATAAAGCACTGGTTGAAAAGAGCCAGAAAGAAGGAATGGACCGGACTGTGCTGAAAAAACACATCAGGATTCTTAATAGACTTACTTTCTTACATTTCTGAAATTCAAATGTGATTCAGGAGGCAAATCTGCCTGGGACAGGGCACATTAATTTGAATGTCCTGGACCATTTATCAGATAGAAGATGCTGGAGGATCAACTCCCAATTTGTGGCTGGCTTCCCAGCAGACTCTTTACTTCACGGTATCTGGGAGCCAGAAGTACTCACATTTGATAACTCAAAAAGCAGAGCAATCAGTCAGGGCAAGTTGGTTTATTTTTGTTCAGGGGTGTCCCTGTGCATTCCCAAACAAAATGAAGGTGAAGAGAGGAAGTGTGGAAAAGATAATGTCTTTCAGATTTCCATAATCGCTTTTGCGTGGACCACTTCTCATGGTTTGGTGGTGGGGGTTCAATTTCCAATACACAGAACAATCACCCAGGCCCTCCCCACAACTAAGGCTTTGGCAGATGTAGTAAAGAAGCAGGAAAGTGTATAATGTGTGCTGCAAACTGACACACACAGTAAAGCTGTGTGATTCAACCTTGCCACCTAAGATCATATGACCCAGCTGTCCAACATAAACCTTTGAATAGGAGGCCTCTGAAGAATAACAGTGATGCAAGAGGTAAGGATGAATCAAGGGGAAGCACACTTCTTTCAGATGGACTTGAACCAGTGCCCTGCCATGGTGGGACGCGCCTGTCATATGATGTTGGCTTTACTTTCCTTCAGTTGAGAAATAGAAGTGAGGTTCTGACTACTTGTCACCAAACTGCCTCAGGCTTTTTGGCAAATGTTAGCTCTGGTGCCCTGGACCATTTCCATCCTGGAGAATTATATTTGGCCTGGGTGTGGATTAAATTCAGCTCTAAGAGCTCAAACTCCTGGGTCACCACTGGCTACTTTGAAAACTGATTTTTTCCCCTTTGCCTCCCTCCTTTCTCTTTTAAATTTAAAGTAGTCTTAGGTAAATCACAAAATCTGCCTTGGAGATTACCTTCAGATTTATGCAAGCTACTTAGTTTATTGTGAAACACTATGAAAATGGAAAAAAAAATGCCACTTACATACTTAGAATTAATAGTACCTTTCTGTGATTCCAAATGGACCAGGTGTCCTTCACGTTTCACTCTGGTCTGGTCTTGCTGTGAAACAGTTCTAATATGCACCGTTTCCCCTCTGTATTTCAGAGATGGATGAAATATGTCTTCTGTGCACTGAATATAGGCTATGATCTCAGAGCTCTCTGTGCCAGCAGAATCAGCCTGGAACTCAGCCAAAAGTTCTTCGTGATTAAAGGTGCCATCTGAGCACACAATATTTTTTTTTAAGTCTTGCAAAATGGAAACATACTTTTATTATTTTTTTAAGGTCACTGGCTTTAACACAGGACTGGCTTTAGCCTTTGGGGAAGGATCACTGGACTCAATTCCCCTCTTTTTCTTCCTTTCTTATTATCTTCCCTTGACCACATGTCTTCTGATAAGGCCAAGTCCATGCAGCTAAATAAACTCAATAAATGGAATTCCAAGAAAACTCTACAAATTATCAGTTGCAGATTTCAGGACCTCCCCAGCCACATGCCTTGTAAGTTAGGGATATATCAAGGTTTTGTGGAAATTTTTGCCTTTAAAATGTAAAAAAAAAAGCAGTACTAGTGGATCTTCTAGAAGGACATCTTCACTGGGGATTGATCATTATCTCTTGAGTGCCTAACATCTTGTCTTTCCTTTCTTTTTTTTTTTCCAGAATGATACTCCTTTTATTTGGCATCTGTAATTTTTTATCTCTCCTCTACATATTTCTTGAAACTTGGGGAAAGGGGTAATCCTATCAACCCAAGGCAGTGAGAAATTATGACTTGAGATGAATGAGTGATTTTCATAGAAGTGGCATTTCTCCAGATGCTGCTCAATTCCTGGGTTTATAGGTCTCTATTTGAGGGCTTCTTCAGACTCAACATAGGATATAGATCTTCTCCCCACTTTGGGTTCTTTTTCAGCTTTGGGGATCACCAAAAACAGCAGGTCTCTCTCTAGCCTAACATGCTCGCCTCTTTTTGGTGTCTACCCTACTAGCAACACAATGTCCACCTGGATGGTGTGTTATGCTGCTGCTGCAAACTTCCCCTCCATCAAGGCAACAGCTTTCAGCTCAGCTCTCACCAGGAGAGAGAGAGCAAATGAAATCCAAATGACAAGAACAATAGTCCAGGCTGTTTCACCAGGGCAGGGCACAAACAGGGCAGGCAGCTGATGAGCTGTGTTATCTCATTTAATCTCCATAACCCTGAGAAGGGCTGTATTTTTATTTTCATTGTGTGTGTGTGTGTGTGTGTGTCTGTGTTAGTTGCTCAGTTGTGACCAACTCTTTGCGACCCCATGGACTGTAGCCCGCCAGGCTCCTCTGTCCTTGGGGATTCTCTAGGCAGGAATACTGGAATGGGTTGCCATTCCCTTCTCCAGGGCATCTTCCCAACCAAGGGATCAAACCTGGGTCTCTCCCATGGCAGGCAGATTCTTTACTGCCTGTGCTACAAGGGACGCCCCGGTTTCATTTTACAGATGAGGAAATTGAGACCCAGAGCAGTAAGGAGACTGGTTCAAAGTCACACAGCCAGTAGCAGACCCAGGATTAGAGCCCCAGGTCCCGACAACCAGCTCAATGCCTTTCTCACTACATCACACAGCTTCTCTCTCCCCTTCATTCACTTAGCAAATGTTTACTGGTGCTTCTAAACACTGGGGATAAAAAAATGAATAAGACAAAGTGTCTAACATTGAGTCCAGATTCCTCAGGGGAGAAGTCCATTTATATACCAGTAATTATAGAATTACACTATAATACAGAAACTGACAAAGTATTCTGAGCCCCCAAAACAATGATGATCTCTGCCCACATGCAGCTGAGTAAAGGCTTCCTAGAGGAGGTGAAATTTAGCCTGCTCTAAATTTACATGGCGGAGAAGGCAATGGCACCCCACTCCAGTACTCTTGCCTGGAAAATCCCATGGGCAGAGGAGCCTGGTGGGCTGCAGTCCATGGGGTCGCGTAGAGTCGGACACGACTGAAGTGACTTCGCAGCAGCAGCAGCAGCAGCAGCAGCAAACTTCCATGGTCTCTTTACTTCTCAGTTTGTCAGATCCATTTGATTAGCTCAAAACCTGAAAAAGTTTCATTGAAAGCCGACCCAAAGATCAGATCACCAGTCTCTCATTATTTTTAATTG